TCGCTCCCTCCCTTAAAACTCTCGCGAGACTTGTCGCAGTTACATACCCCAGAACTCTTAGTGCTTATAAAAAAAAAGCAATCAGTGACACGAAAGGTCCCTCCAGTTTAAAAGCTTAGAGGGTCATTCTTCAACTCTGACCGGGCCTTAGTTGAATGTCATCTAACATCTTTTGTGAACACGTCAGCACACCACTGCACATACCTAAAACATTTTTCACAGGCAGGAGAAGCACGCTATGTACCATATGAAACAAAAGGCAATTCCAGATGTTTGATCTGACTCCACTTTACACTATAGATTAACCCACTAAATCTCTGAAGGAAACCATCACATTAAAAAGGAAAGGTCTAAATTAAGATGGACTCTGAATGAACCCCAGGCTCAGAGCACTGGGCTGTCTATTGAGCAGAGTGGATGTCAATAGTGGTAATCACAGCAAATGTTTCTGAGGGCACTTACACTATTACTGCAGTTGAACAGAGGCACATAAAGCTGTCAGGTTTGTGTTCAGGATATGGGGAATAACACTAGTTCCTCTCCTTTTATGGCAGCTCCAATCTATGGTGGACCTCCTTGAGGGAACACTTTACAGCATGGATCTAATGAAAGTCCACTCCTACATCAACAAGGTGGTCTCTCAGATGAACACCCTGGAAGAGGTAGGCGAACAACCACACTCATGTACTTCCTCATATCACTATATTCAAAGGGTTGCTAGGAGACTTTTCTGTCATTGAATGGACAGTTATAACTGTGATGATAATGATTTTGTCTTGCAGACAATCAAGACAAACCTTACACGAGAGAATGACTTTGTTCGGGACAGCATGACGAGCCTGACCAACCAGTTTAAGAGATATGAGAATTACTCCAACATTATGATGAGCATCAAGAAGGAGATTTCCAGCCTCAGCCTGCAGCTGCTGCAGAAAGACTCCTCTGAGAGCAAAGCACAGGTGGGAAGAAACTCTCAGTAGTTATACTAGTAATAGTAGTTGTAAGATTAGCAGTACATCACAAATGGTGTTGTTAGTCAGCACTGTAGAAGTTCAGTCTCAGCTTCAAGTTTCAGTCTCAAGACAGCTTTTCTATTATTATCTGCCTCACTTTTTATAGTCTTTGGTCCACCTACCAGCAATTGCATTAGCTTCCTATTTACAGGTGTGAGAGTGGTATTGATCTTCTCATCAAATTCTCAGCATGAAAACAAATTGGCATACATATAAATGTCACACAATTTCTTTAAATTTGCTATAACAAATATTTGTATATTTACTGAATAATGGTTAAAATTGAATGGACCACATGGTTTTGAAATGGTCACTTGTGATAAACTTATAGAGAATTGTCACCTGACTGCAGTTTCCTTCAGCTCACAAATGTACTGTTTGGTTCAGTCCCACTGTGCTCATCAGCATCATGCTCAGCACCAAACAGCAGTCAGACAAAGTCAGGTTCCAGCTGGTAAACGTATAGTAAACAAGCATACACACATACACATAAGAGGCACTACACAGCAACAGAGGCTCTTGATATGACCCGGCTTAGAAGGATAGCGAGCAAGAGGAAGATGAGGAGGATGAAATGTCGGAGGAAGAGGACTGTAATATCTATGAAAATCCTGAAATTAGTAAGGAGGAATCCATTGAGGAGGAGGGGGAAGAGGTTGAAAAACTTTTCACTTCCAAGGATGGAAACATACTGTGGTCTTCAATCCCACCTGTGGAGCTTCTGAAAAAGAAGCTGACCATGGTGGGAACAGTGAGGAAGAACAAGCCAGAGATACCTCCTACACTGCTGATATCATGTGACAGAGCTAGATACTCCTCCAAGTTGCCTTTACAGAGACACATGCGCCTGTTTCCTACACCCCCCAAAAAAAGGAAAAATGTGCTTCTCCTGAGCACTGCACATCGGGACACAGCTGTAAGACAAAGGGAAGACCTAAAGCCCCAAATCATACTGCTGTCTTTTACAGCATGATTGACCTGTTCCGATGCTTCACGCACAAGAAGACGGTGTAAATTCTGCAGTAATGACAACAAAACAAGTATCAAGTGCAGCAAATGCAATACGTATATTTGCAAAAATCACAGAACTGTGACCACACATTATCCATGATGCATATAAAGGCACAAGCACATGGACCACAGGTGTTATTTTATCATTATTTTTTACTGCCATCCAAAAATGTACAATGCTTTTAAAACAGATGTTTCACCAGCACTTTACATATCCCACTCTGTGCATACCCAATAAATTATTTTTTCACTATAAGTATTGAAAAAAATATTCAGGTTGTATTACATTTTCCACTTGTAAATGAGACCTAATTTTGTTATTATTTGACTAAAACTGATCATTATTTCTGGAAAAAAAATATGAAAATTATATATCAATGTGTTGGTCTTGACTTGCCTAAAAAGGTGAAAAAATAAATAGCTAATAATTTTTTTCTACATGTCCTAAAAACAGTCTAATACCATAGACTTCATAGACTAGGTCTTTTTTGACCCGGGAGGACTAAGTTGCATTATTGACGGGAGGACTACACAATGGTTGAAGGCGATAATGTCAATATTGAAAGCTTTTTTCCACTGCATGAGCAAGAATTACTGTAGCTGTAGCATTGTGCAAGAATGTTTTGTTGTAATCATGACTTTAACAAATAATGGAACATTAAGGCAAGTTTCCACCTGTTCCAATCACAATTTCAAACTTTTATGAATCCAAAAGGACTAGGGGTGTGCATCTCTCCAATAAAAAGACGTTCGATCGACTCTCGATACATTGGTACCGATTACGTATTCAGGAAGCGATACTTTGTAAAATGGAAACGTGCTTCGATTCAGTTTATCAGATATGATTTCGATTCGATCGTTCAGGAAATTCATTTTAAAATGGAGGGCGATTCGATTTCAAGTTTGTTATTCAGAAGTGATTTTCGATGTCGATTCGTCTGCATTTGATTTCGATGTGCCTGACGGCTCATCGATCGAGGTGTATTGATGGCGAATTTTTCTTGTGTAACGAGTTGCAATCAATTTCATAAATGAATTAACGTTGTAATGTGGCATTTCCTTCAAAAAGATTTTCAAAGATTCGTATGAGATGAAAAGTGTATTTGTAGTTTTGTCATGTTTTAGTAATCAGTTGTAAAACAAATTCACGTAAAGCGTCCAGTTAATTTCATTCAAAAGATCAACAGGGTAGATATGTGTTCGCTCAGATTGTGCTAGCTGCTCTCCTCTGTCGTGTTTCCTGCCTCGCCATGGGCCCCCTCGTCACTAAGTGAGCTGTGGAGATTTTCTCTACCGGGGTACAGTTTATCGCAGTTTCAGTCTGTTTGCATTATAGCTAACGTTTTTTATATCAGTACTCCATTCTTTCAATATAAATCTGAATTTCTTCACAGACTTTAAACCTGCCGGGAGCGTTGTGAATCGGTGCCCGGGGTCAGCCATTCTTTAAACGTTTCCTTCAGCACACTCACAGCGCTATCTGCACGTAACTGCGGACAAAGTTGTCGCAGAAGAGTTATTTAAGGGATGGGGCGAGAGACGGTTCAGAGAGAGATGCCGCAGTTTGTCAGCAGTGGCGCTTCGATCACAGATAACGATTTATAACTTTTTGATCGGGCCATCGGCGTCAGAGCTACCATTAGCCGACTGTTATTAGTCGGGGTGGTGAGCTGATGCCACTCGATCTTTTAAATCAAAATCGATTTTCCGATTCAAATCGTTTTTTGTTACACCCCTAAAAAGGACCATACTGAATATTCAAAGTTCTATCACCACTGATTGTCACTATGAAAAATAAGACAAAAGAACAATATTGAATGACTTTTGTTTGTTTTTGGACTCGAAACTGTTGAGACTTGGTCTTGTCTCTGACTCCACTCAAGTGGTCTTGACTACAGTCCTTCTGTTAGTACAGCTTCAACTGTAATGCTTTTGGAGCAGTAGTAATAGTGTTAGCAGCTGTTCTAGTAGTAACATTGGTAACATTATTAACAGTAGTAGTAATAGTAGTGTAAGGTTATTAGGGCAGTGTATTGGAAATAATTTGGCAATATGATACATTTTACAATAATGGGGTTCCAGTTTAATATATTGCGATATATTGCAATACTGTACGCTAGGTTGATGTCACTTTTTTGCACATACATACTTCAATACATACGGTTCGCAGTTTCATAAGCGTAGTCAGCGTATAAAACCCACAAGCCAATCTTACCTAGTGTCCTGACATAACCTGAATGCCCATTTTTACAGGACACTAATGGAGAGAAGACCAAGGAGGCTGTAAAAATACCCAACAAAAAGATCCCTGGAGCCAAACCCCCACCCAAACCACCCAAAGAAAAGGTCGTAAAGCCCAAGAAAGAGGTCATTAAACCTGGGAAGCCGCTCAAGCCTGACCCTACGGCCAAAGCCAAGGTGGTTGGCAACCAGCCTGGCGTGGTGAGGGGCATCACATACTACAAGGCTGCCAAGAACGATGAGGATGAGCACAGAGGAGGTGAGAGTTGTCAGCTTGGCCGGGACTTTCTGTATACTCTCCCAGCATAGTGGTATGTTCATAGAAAGCCTCTCTCTCTGAGCTAAAGCAAACATTGTGCTTGCACTTTAGCTGAGTTTGCACTCCCATCTGTGTGCGATCATCTGTGTGTGATCCACTCTGGGTGCTGAAAATTATCCAAATTAGTTTCTTCAGCATTCTTATCTGACCCCACATGGCACCTTGCTGGATCAGGATCAGCAGCCAGAGAGTCACAGAGCCAGATTCAAGATCTTAATAAGCTGGATTTAGCTTCCAGTAGAGAACAATATAAAGCATTTTTGGGAATGTTGTTTCACACAAGTGTGAGATAAGACTGTAATTGTCTTGCAAACTTTACACTTAAGTGCAAGGCAATAAAACAGGGATCCATCGCTGAGTGGCACACAAGATCCCCTTAATACAAGATTTATTTCGATGTTGTTTTTAGCAAAGCTGGCCTAGTCAGCGCAGGATTGGATTGCTGGTGCGCGTTCAGCGAGCAGGAAATCCAAATCTTTTATTGACAAATTACATGGAGCTGATGGAATGCTGTCTCAATGGAGTGCTGCCATGTCCATGACATGCCTCAGCTTCACTTCTCCCAACAATGCGTGGGGACCCTCACCAAGGCTGACTCCTTCCAATCCTCTTTAAGTCTAGATGAGTGAATAGGTATGCTACGTTTGCACAGGGCACACGCACATAGCCCTGTCAGACCGTGTGTTCTGCCACGTATGTGAATCTCAGCGAGTCCGGCCACCTGTCACTTTACTGAAACCAGTCAGCTGCATTTCCATAAGCTCTGGCAAAGAGCAGGATGCAGGAACTTTTATTAATCCAAGCAAGTATGATACACCTGAAATTCGCCTCATCAAATTTAGTTACAGTGACACACAGGGAGATGCCTATTGTAGCCACAGTTCTCTGCTTTAGGCCACTGATCAGCTGAGTTGAGTTACTTGCTCAGTGGCATCCAGTTGTAGAACGATAGGAAACATTTGCCTTACCTGTCCCCACTTATTTTACCAGCCAGCAAACTGAGTGAGTAAGCATGTGGCAGCAGTAACCTAGAATGAATCCTTACAACCTCTGTATAATATTGCTGGATAGGACAGCAATACGTGCAGATTGATTCAAAAAGTCTGCCCTGCAGTACCATGCAACTATAGTGCAATTTTGACAATGCTAAAAGCAAATTCAGTATTCCTTTGTTCATCTTCAAAATGTTCCAGTGTGTAGGATGTAGTGACATCTAGTTGTGAAGTTGCAGATTGTAACCAACTCAATACCGTACAACTCAACTTCCAAGTGTGTAGGAGAAACTATGGGGGCCACAAAGCTCGAAACAATGAAAGTCCCTATGTAGAGCCAGTGTTTGGTCTGTCCGTTCTTCGCTACTGTAGAAACATGGCAGTTCAACATGGCGGACTCCGTAGAAGAGGAAAGAGGACCTGCCCCCCCACTGTAGATACAAATGCTCATTCTAAGGTAACAAAAACACAAAGATTCTTGTTTTCAGGTGATTATAGACTAATGAAAACGTACCTATGAATATTATATCCTATTTCTGACAATAGATACTCCAAAATGTTGCACACTGGACCTTAAAAGACTGTGGTATTTTTGGTATTTTTTTATATTTGGAAAACCGTTAATGTCAAGCATAAAGGATTTGACACAAATATTTTCCTTTAAGATATCTCACAGGATCAAAATGTTTTAAAGGGGTCTTTGATCTGTATAATAGTAAAGTAACAGAACTAGTACAATGTGCTTCCCATCTGCTTTACTGGATGCAGATGGATGTCACGTCCGTTAATGATTAGCTGACTTAGTCCTCTTTCATGCACTCTCAACGTAGAGTCATTAGCTTCACTCAACCAGAAATACAATAGTTGTAACAGATTTGTTTCTTTTGTTGGTTTGGAAATTGGTGCTACATTTACAACAGACAAGAGAGGCAACAGTTGGACCAATATGTTTTTTTAATTAAAAAAATTAAGTGTTTTATAAATTTTGCTTCTGCAAAAGCATTTAGAACATCATAGACAAAAAGCTGCCATGAAAGAGGTGAGATGCAATGAAATGAAACATGGAGAGCGTTGTACACTCAAACAGCAGGCGTGGATGGGATGCCTGGCCACCCCAGCTGCCTCCCTTTTAAAAGTAACGTGTTAAGTGTAGAGATTAATTTAATGATCTGTTATGGCCCCATTAAGTTAAATAAGTACACACGTATTTGGAAATATGTCTGAAAATTTGGAAATAAAACAATGTATTGATTTCTAATGCCATTTTTAGATATTTCTATTCAAAGCTTTACTAATGTGTCACATTAATGTTTTTGAGTTCAAATATCTTCAATTGGGTACTTTACTTTTAAATCAACATATATTTCTTTCACCCTTAAAGTCTCCATGCCACCCTCTGAATATCCCATTAATATTTCTCTGGATCCCCCGGTCACACAGTCTTGCCAGTGCCAGTGGCATTGATGGTGTTGCACTAAAATGTACATGAAAAGTGATAGAGGTACTAGCTTGGTACAGAGGCCAACTCTAACAACTTTGCACACCAGACCAATTGCTCTTAAGCTGGTGTGATTGTCACATTGTCAGAAGTTACAAAAATTGTCAGACAAAGAGTGTCAGATTGTTATAAATGTTGGTGCCTGTTTTTGCAGTTTGAATGTTAACATTAGATAGCATTACTGGCACAGATACTGTATAACATTGCAAAATGCATGAGGGTAACAGATGCATTAAAAGAGTAATTTGTATCTTCTATCTTCATCTTTTATTTATAATTACAATTTGTCACAGTTTTAATTTTCAATATTTCTGGTTTTTATTTAGTTTTAGTCCCATTTTTATTTCAAAAAACCTTGTGAATTCATATTTTTAGGATTTTTTTTTACTGAAAAAATACAATGAAATCTTTTCTTAGGTTGCAGCTGTTACTCTGCAATGCAAAAACATTTTTTGAAACGGATTACATTGAAAATTTAACACAAACTCAATTTTGTAAGTTCAAAAAGATTCTTGATGAAGCAGCTTTTACTAGTAATTTTAAGTGACAACTTACTTTTGTAAGTTACAGTAACATTCCTGATTGAAGTACATTTTACTAGGTATTTTGTTTTCACAGTACAAATAAAAATACAAAATTAAGTGTTAAATACTAATGCTACTCCATCATGGATGTTTTAACTTACCAAATTGAGTTTGTTTTACTTAAAAATATTATTTTAATGTAAATCTCTTTTAAAACTAAATTAACTTAAATTGAAAAACATTTTGATGCATCTTGCTCCCATTCTTAATTTTTCTATTAAGAATTACTAAGAAAGCAGAACAGGCTGTGTGAGGGAGGCAAGAAAGAGAAGAAGTTCAGAGAAGAGGGAGGAAGATTTCTGTTCTCTGTGTGCCGCATTGCTAATGTGCTTCCTTTGATGTGAACTTCTGGAACACAGCAGACTATAATATTTCTTCTGCTATCGAGGAGCCATATACTGTATCTACCGTCCACTGAATTAAAGGTTTAAAAACCCTTTTTAAAAGACACTTGAAAGACAATTTAGAGACAATTTCCCTACACACCCTACACTAGATCATGCTGCCATAATGTAACCTTCACTACCAACAACAAGAAGCAGCTTGTTCAGCCCTACTCTCCTCTGATACCACTCACCCGTCTGATCTTGTATGGGCATCTGCTACTAACTGTGTAGAATCTTAGATTTTTTGTGTTTGGTCTGACTGCACACTTCCTCCTGCCCCTTCCAGACCATTCTGCCAAAACGTACACGGTCCATCATATCACAGAAAACCAGTCAGAGGAGGGAGGAGCTGAAATCGTCCTGGAAACCGTGGAGGCCACTGTGGCTGAACCCATTGCCACCACTGCAGTTCCCACCACTACAACTACTGCCACCACCACCACCACAACTACTACCAGCACCACCACACCCACTACTATCACCACACAAAGTATGCCAGCTTCTGAAAGACCAGCTCCAACCATTGTGCTGGTTCTGGACAATTCCAACAACAACAGTCGGCCCACACTCCACAGAGCAGGTACCTGCTAGATATCCCTCTGTGAAAGGGCTCTGTATTCTGTTGCAGGCTTTGACTGCAGTGACAGAAGCCAGTTTAGCAGCGTGTGGGTTTACTCTGTAAAGAAATGTATGCATGAAATCGATTGAAGACCATATTAATGCAAGTCATTCTCTCCAAGGCGTACATGCTGAATGTTCTGCTTGTTTCTTCCAGGGAAGATCCTCAACTGTGAGGGGACTGTAGCATCCATTGAGCAGCCAGAGAAGCAGCACAGTTATGGGCGCAACGAGGGAGCCTGGATGAAGGATCCACTGGCTAAAGACTCCAAGATCTATGTAACTAACTATTACTACGGCAACAACCTGGTGGAGTTCCGCAACCTGGACAACTTCAAGCAAGGTGTGCTTCAGTTGGGTCTTTTTGCAACGCACCATTTACCCACCATTATCCCTAGACCTAAGCAGTATTTATGTTTAATGGAAGGGGTTAACAGGAGTGCTGCCATAGATTAGTGAGGCTTAGGTTTTGATTCTTAGTTCAATGTAGGATTTTACCTGTTGTTGGCACCAGGCCTGGAATTTCATCATTTTAGGAGCAAGGCCACTTGCTCTTTGGTGTTGTCCATTTTTGCCCTTGATGGCGCTTACGTAATACAAATGTATCAAACATGATATGATACATTTGTGTCCTGCTTTAATTATATTCACCTCAGTAATTGTTTCACTTTACTTTGTGATACACAGCAGCAAATTAAGGTTACATGCTCGTAATTTCCCCTTGTCTCAGTACTGAACAGACCACTTTTGTACAATTGTCTCATTCACTCAATGCAGTAGAGAGTGGAGGTAAGCTGTATGCTACTTAAAAGTAAAAGAGAATTTAATTTAATTCTCTGGCTTCCTTTAAGTTGTCTTCACTGTCACCTACCTCACCTTACAAACACAAGCTGACTAATCTATTCAGTTATATTTTTGAGAAAGTGCACGTCAGCTACAGCATGGCCTACAGCAGATGTTTTCAAACTGTGAGGCTTTGAGGGGGATACAGGAGAGTTGAATGGGAGGGTTTACAGTGTGTTATATGGTTTTGGCTGACTCAGCGGCTTCGTAAGAGGCTTACTTTCAGTGTCAGACTGAGACGTATCTTCACTTTTACATCTTTTTCATCATCTAACTCCAAACACAACGTCTGATTCTAGTATCACCCCAATGTGTTTTCTCTAATAACATCATTGACACTGATTCATGTTGATTGTTCTGTGAGACTGATGAGATCTGTGGAATGCAGGTCTTGGTTGTTTTATGGCTCCAGTGGGTGGGAAAATCAACTCCTTCCACATCCAAATCTACTAAGGAATTGGATTACACTCTCTAAGAGAGTTAAGATGATCTCCCCTCGTAGGACCCAGCTTGTTGATCTAGATGTGTTTGGACAATGGGCTTTCTAAATGCACTTACATGTGAGGCGTCCTGCTGTGCGGTGAGCTCACAGCTGTGTGCGGATGACTAGGTATTTGGAGTGGCGGTGATGCCTGCTGTTCCCTGACATGTGCTCTGGCCTTTCCTTTGAACTGGGCACAGTGGAGAGGGATTAGGAGTGTGGGCTGGCCTTATGGATGAGGACTGTGGGGGTGGGGGGTATACTCTACTGCACGTTGTTTTTGTCCTTCACTGGGCTTTCCATTTATTATCATTATCTAAATCACACTTCCTGAGGTTGGAAGGTTAGGATAGCAGATAGGATGTGATTAGAAAATGACACCTACAGTACACAATGTGTTTGCTCAGGAGTGAACCACTAAACAAACTTTGTCACTGTCACATGAAGCCAGTGTGTACACAGTCTGGCACTATGAAAACATTGTCATTGGCTCTATGAAGGGCACAATATCAGCTTAGAACACACTCTGGCCAATGTATCCAACTCACAATAAGTAAAGATTGATGTATAAATAAGCACATCAGAGGGGTCTTGAGCATCCTAAAGGAGCTGGCAATTATGACCAGCTTGTCATATACAGTATTATATTATATACAGTATACAGTAGTACTTACTGTATTAAAGGCTGTTGACCAACACATTAATCATTTTATTTTAAGCTAAATTTACCACATGTTGGCCTCTCAGGACTGTCTAGCAGAGCTGTTTTGGGGGGAGGTCCAAGTCAAGTCTCAAGGAATCATAAGAAAATGTCAGTTGCAATTCTTTCAGGCCTGAGCATCTGAACAACATTTGAACTGTTTCCTTTCAAAGTTGCATTAATAATGTTGCTTGCATAGCTGAGCCCAAAATATTTCAGTGCATGGGAATATTCAAATGTTATGTATGGCTTTGCAAGGCATACCTGTGGCTGTCTTACTTTTTTATGTTATGGGATGTTATCAGGTCATACTATTAGGTGTTTTGCTTTCAATAATGCATTTTATTTGTAGGCACCTTTTAAGTCACCCAATGACACTTTGCAAAACTAGATAAGACAGATAAGTCTCAAGTTGAGTCTTCACAGAGTCTTTAACAGGTGGTCCAAAAAAGGGGTCGTGAACCACGACCATTGACAAATTAATATTAACATGAATCCAGTTGACTGTGGAGTATTCTGATCATGGGCTGTAGGTTAGACCTTGTGAGATGTCTGCCATATTTTTGAAGGTTGTTTTGTGAAGGGATATTAGAGTCCTGGATTGTATTTAGGGCTCATTGTGGTCCTGGCAGTGCAGAGCCCGAAAATCCATAGGTGTTTTTTTTGTGTTGAGTTTGCCTGAAGCTGATGAGAAGGATACATGGCTTTTCTTGGAGCCACAATGGAGCAGTCACTGATGATAATTGATGGAGGCAGTTGCATCAGAGGTGAAACAGTGGTCTGTTTTGTGTAACAGAATGTGTTCAGTGGCAAATGAGAATTAATTATTCACCCATGCTTTATAATAAAGCTAATGTAATATTCTTGGTTGTTGCAGGCCGATGGAGCAACCTCTTCAAACTACCTTACAACTGGATAGGCACCGGTCATGTGGTTTATAATGGAGCCTTCTACTACAACAGAGCCTTCACCAAGAACATAATCAAGTATGATCTGAGAATGCGATACGTGGCAGCCTGGACGCTGCTGCATGACGTGGTTTACGAGGACACCACCCCCTGGAAATGGAGGGGCCACTCGGACATTGACTTTGCAGTGGACGAAAGCGGCCTGTGGGTGATCTACCCCTCTGTGGACTACGATTACAACCAGCAGGAGATGATCATCATCAGTAAACTGGATCCCGGAGACCTGACATTGAAAAAGGAAACAACCTGGAGGACAGGTCTCAAGCGGAACTCCTACGGGAACTGCTTCATCATCTGTGGTGTGTTATACGCCGTCAATGTCTACAACCAAAAGGAAGGTGAAGTGAACTATGCTTATGACACGCACACCAACACTGAAGCCATCCCACGCCTGCCCTTCACCAACGAGTACGCCTTCACAACCCAGATTGACTACAATCCCAAGGAGAAGGTTCTGTACGCCTGGGACAATGGCCATCAGCTCACATATCGGATTAACTTTGTCGACCAGTGAGCACAGCTCACAGCAGGACTGCCAGTGTGGCACTTTAATAGAAAGAAGAAGCTCCTTATTTGACAGCCTTGAAGCAGCCATATTGGACTCAACAGGACAAAGGATGGACCTACACCAGCCTTCTATTACCAATGCATGCGATTCAAACATCTGACCTCACAGTGTACCAAACATACATGCCTCAAATGTGTATTAGGATGTTACTGTTACTGTCAGTAGAATGGACAGTGGACAGGGGGAAATAATCTCATAGGTTGAGTTAAAGCTCATCAGGCAGAGCTTTAGAAAGTGGAGAGTGTTCTTTTACAAAATGTCAGCAGGCTGGCTAACGAGCAGACACATAGATGGCTATAAATGGTAAGTTTAAATTAGAGACAGCATTTGTAACAGATTTATCACTAGATGTAATTTTGGTAGTTTCTGAGGCCTGAAAAGCCAAATCTGGGCAGAGACATGAGCAGTGGCTGAGTGAGATGGGCTCACATCAGCCAAGCAGATACTTTCCCAACTAGACTAGATCTAGAGTCTAGTTGGGAAACTAGACTCTAGATCCCACTAAATCCTACACATGGGTCTTTTAAATTATTGCTTCAGATAAGCAGATGAAGCTCTTAAGACATATCCTGTATGGCACTATAACAACCCCTATAGTTGGAGGAATCATTACAGTGACCAATATAATTCCGTAAACGTACACTTGGGCATGCAAGCATTGTATTAAAACAGAGGTTCACCTAGAAATTTGTACAGTACAACTTGTACAGTGTGATGTAGAAACTTGAAGCCATCAGTGCACATCCACTGAGAATGGACTTTACAGAAGTAGGAGACATCTTGTGGTCCAGCAGGAAAACTTTAGAAATGAAAAACATTTGCATATTCAGAGATTTTAATGTGGAAATAGTAGGACTTTTTATATGTGTCTTATGCATGTCTGGAGGGGATCTTTAGGTTTTAGGTTAAGATGATCAAACTAGCATGACTAGATTTAGCAACCATCACCAGGCTTTCTAATCTTAGGTACCTCCACTTTTATCTTTTGCCTTTTAAGTGCTTCAAATATTTTCACACAGCTAGTGTTATTTAGCCCCGCCCCCAACATTTAACTCAACCAGTGAGATTATTTCTGCCTCCAGAGTAGTGAGAAATGTTTGTAAAACTAAACTGTCAGCTAAGTATGGCCCATCTACTCCATCCTATCACCAAGCACTTTGATCATAAATCTGCTTTGATTATTATTCCGGCCTCATGATGCTTCCTGTCTCTTTACCATTGATGTCGTTTTGAGGGATATGTTGAACATAATATGAACTCCAAAAAGAAGATTTTTTTATATATATATGTACATGAATTCATTTTACATTATCATACAGCGTTTTTTCTAATTTCCTGCATCTTGTTAAATCTTTATGTTGTTGAAGAAAAGTATGCAGCTTTTGTATTGTTAATAACATTTCCAAAACCACTACATTTGTTGTAATTATGAAGTATTTAAACATTTTCACCTCAATGCAAATTAACAGCCGTGGTTAGTCATGCTAATATAACCTTTAGCTGTGCCATCTTCAATAACGGACGCCACAAACCATGAATGTTTTTATGTTTGACAATGACTGACAGTACTGTGTGAGGCACATAATGGCAATGGTAAGCTTTAAGACTCACTTTTTAGTGTTGTTTTGGTCTTGTTAACCATATTTTCACAACCACATTATTTTTGCCTTTTCTTGAATTATCAGGAGTGTTTTGTTAAGTTTATTCATAAAAGGCATGCTGATTGTAATAAAATAATTTGCAATTGCAAGGTCTTCATACATAAATAATAATGCCATTAAATGTAACACAACACTTGAAACCAGCTGTGTATGTCTGTGCTATGAAATAAAATTTCCATTATAAAAGTCTGTTGTGAGCCTTATAAGTCAATCCGCAGCGACCCAATAAATGCCATGGGATAGCATGGCAACCTCGTGTTGAAGGGATGACGACCAGTGACTCAGATCTTCTGATTTCTGTATAACAAAGCTCTCATGAGCTATGTTTGGTTCTGGGGTAAAGGTCGCTACGCTCTGCTTGATCTCAATCCCAAAATACGCTAAAAGGAGCAGCCGAGGGTCATGGTAATAAGGGCAGGGCTGCCAAATTTCTTGGCCGGGGATTTGAAAACCTTTTACTTGAGCTCTAAGTCATGCAATTCTGGAGGGACATATTGAAATATATCAAGAGCTGAATGCTGGGTGTGGTAGGTCCACGCATGTGGTCTTCATTTAGGAAAATCAACTCCCCAGTTCTATTAAAAGAACATCTCATTGCACTGTGCTGTGTTTTACACCAAGATAATGAAGTTCATTAATAAGCACCAGGCAGGGCTGTAAGTCTGATGAGCATAGCACTAATGGTGTGTCAATCCTGAACTCTGTCACGAAATGTTGATGTGTTGTTGTAATGGAACAGTAGTTGTGGTGATGAACACTGACAATTCACATGACCTACGCTGCTTCAGTCCTTGCGCCTCAGGGCAAACACAAAGGCTCTCCTGTTGCTAAATCAGGACTCTACTTGATCCTGTTCACATCAGCAGGGCCTCTTCTTCATCATGTACCATCATGTCCTCACAGTGCCAGCCATGTAAAGCTTTTGTTCCTATGTTACATGCCACGGTGAAGCCAGAAACTGCAGTGCTGAGCCATATCATTCATGTTCAAGGAGTAATTGGGTTAGTGTAGGAAGAGGCTCTCACAGGCCTCTGCTATGCTAAGGTAATTTTCTCCAACTACAGGGACCTTCCATTGCATCAACTACCCACATTTACAGATACACACCCAGTACTGCAACAATCCATCAGGACCTCTGTGTATTAGTTTTGTTATACACACATCCAGCCAAGAATATACCAAAATCCTGAGGTGTGGAGTCGATCCACATGACTAGGACTCAAGTCTTTACTTTTTTATCCTACCCTGGTTAACATGACGTACTCCTCCAGTATTACTAGTAATATTACTTACTTACCAAAAGACCAAATAAAACTTTTAGCTGTTTGTCTTCTTATTACATTAATATAATATTAATATATTAACTATTATCTATGTAAAGTTATATTGGAGTCATGCTGTCTCACACCCTCTGCCTGTGTTGTTATCACAGGCTCATTTTGTAGTTCTTATTCTCAATTAGTGGTGGGGCGGATCGATCCAAATATCGATATACGATTCAACGTTGTATTGATATTGATCGATACCAGTGTAATTGAGGTCGATACTTTAGTTCTCAGTTTCTGTCCTGTCGACCTGGCTGTCAGTCCTGTGTAAGTGCGCTGCTTTTGAGTGCTGCTCCTGTCCACAGCGCGGAGCACAGCCAGCATCACTCTGGCTCTCTCCTCCCCCCTCTTGTGCTTTAATGTCACTTGACCCAGGTAAACAAGCAAGCAGGTCTGCCGGTCAGTAGTCACACACACACACACTGAGAGATGGAGCAGAAGAATGGCGGAGAGAAAGAGGAGCACTGTGTGGCTTTATTTTCAGGTTACAAATGACACAACGGCAAATTGTTTAGTTTGTAAGCAGGCAGTAAAATACAGTGGCAATACTACGAATTTATACAAGCACATGAAAAATCATTCAAAAGAAAATATAGAGCTACAGAAACGGAGAGAGGAGGAGAGAAATCCCCCACCCCCTGGCCCTGATGTCACAGTGATATGCAAGGTAAAATTATTGTCTATGGAGTCAGGTGTCAAGTGATATTGATATTACGACTGTTTCTGGTTAAAAAAGGTCTATTTTAGTAGGGATCCTTTTCATAATGCTGTCAGGACCCGATTGTTATTATAAGTTACTGTTATGTTGCAGCTCTTTTCACGTTTAACTTTTTTTTATTTAAGATTGTCACAACATGCAGAATACAAACAAAATATAAACAATAACTAATCCCTAGTCACCACCCCCCACCCTTCCATCCCACCAGACCTGTATCGCATGTACAAAAGGCCACCACATTGGACTTAAAATTAGTTAAATTCACACCCTGCGGAGTGACACCAAATAGAGCAGTAAGGGGGGATGGATCTATTGGCTGCAGTAATATTTTAGAGAGAGTGTTGAAAATTGACTGTCAGAAGTGGTGTAGTCTTGGACATGTCCAAAACATGTATAACATAGTTGCAGGAACTTCTATCGCAAGTAGGGTTTAACTCTGGTCTGATTTTGGACAGCCTAATCATTGACCAGTGAAGTCGGTGCACTATTTTGAATTGTACAACTGTATGTCTTTGAAAAGCAGATGATGTGTGAATTCTCCTGATAACTTTCTGCCACACTGCATCTGGAATCTGTTCATTTAAATCCTCTTCCCATTTGTGTTTGAGATAATCTAAAGTTGACAAGTTAAATAGACTGAGAAGGCCATATAGCTTACCTATAACCTGCTTTTTTTGTTTTTCCCCATCTTGAAAAAAGAGTCTAACAAAGATACTGGGAGATATAAGGGAAAGCAATTGGAATGTGAGGCTATAAAGTTTCGCAATTGTAGATACCTAAAGAAGTGCGATCTAGGGATATTAAATCCATCTACTAGTTGTTCAAAAGACAAAGAGAAGTTATTGTCTACATAAAGATCCTGTAGTGAATGTATCCCACACCTGAACCACACACCAAAGGCTCCATCTGACATTGAGAGAGGAAACATGGGATTTTTCGTTATCAGAGCAAAAAGGGAGAGGCTGTTCAATTCAATTCAATTCAATTCGATT